AAAAAAAAAAAAAAAATCTATTCTTTGGAATTCTAGTCCAATGATATGGTCTATGATAAAATGACCAATTTAGCTTAAGAAATGTGTACACCTTGAACATTCCTAATTACATTAAAGGTTACAGAGAATCCAGTAAGTCATGCAGTTGATTTTGTTGTCCCCAGTTTTCTCCAATATTATTTTACCATGTAAAATTTTGCCTCCCTTAATACATAATGTAATTATTGTTGTATAGAATATAGTTTGGAAGAAATTTCCCTATTTTAGCTCAGAATAGTAGGGTATAACCAAATAACACACTGGTCATAAAAGCAAAAGTTAAAGAAATCTTCACAACAGGCTGGACAGGGCAGCTTATGCCTGCAATCTTGCACTTGGGAGGCTGAGGCGGGTGGATTGCCTGAGCTCACAGGTTTGAGACCAGACTGAGCCAGAGTGAGACCCTGTCTCTAAAAATAGACAGACATTGTGGTGGGCACCTGTAGTCCCAGCTACTCAGGAGGCTGAGGCAAGAGAATTGTTTGAGCCCAAGAGTTTGAGGTTGCTGTGAGCTATGACACTGGTACTCTACTGAGGGTAACAAAGTGAGACTGTCTCCAAAAAAAAAAGAAAGAAATTTTCACAACATACTTAAAAGAAAAATCTTTATTAACTTTCCATCCATGATAACTACATTTAAAATAACCTGTTGACACACTGAGTAGCTAAACTCTTAATGTACCCCTTCCAAAAATGATTGGGGCTCTAGAAAAGTTGATGTTAAGCCACCTCATTTTGCTACAATAAGAACTCACCAGTTACTAATTTAAGCCATTACAAGATCTTCACAATAAAATAATTTTATCTGCCTGAAAGAGTAATGTTTCTTTATCGGGAGGTTAAAGAAGGAAATCTATTTGACTTGCAACGTGTGTATGTTGGGTTTTATCTTTTCCACTGTTACTTTATCTACATGTTTACATAAAGGAATAAACATTCACTTTATTAAGATAATACACTTTTTAGAACTGCCCATCCCTCAATTAACTGGACATTTGAGTTTTGTCTTTACTGCCTAATGCTATTTTATACAAACACTTACATTCAGGCACAATGTTTACATATGTATTTTATTACGTTACTATAGTTTGCATGCTCATTTATTAAGCATTTGAACAATGATGATGTAAACTTTGTTGTACACATTGCTTTTCATGATTTTGAAAAATTTCCCTGGCATATTGAAGATGAGATTAAAGACTATACATTTTTCTTGTTCTAATATTTTATTGCCAAATTGTTAAAATTTTCAAGAAGTCAAAACATCATCTTTTCTGGGATCCTCTGACCAGATCTAACTTAAATCCCTGAAAACATAAACCTTATTAACCAGGTGCTTATGGCCTAATCTACAAAATGAAATCCAGCAACAAACAACATGAAGGAAATTCTTTTGTGTGTTTTCTTTTCTTGTGAAACATTAGGTTTTGAAGGGAAGGATGGATATCTCAATTATAGAAATAATGGGAATTATAGCCATAGAATTGGTGTTTCATTCCTGAATTCTCCTTATCCCTGAGGTCTTTATGGTCTTCTACAGTTGATTTATGGAAACATTTTTGAGCCTTAGTTTTTGAAAAGGAGTTCTTAAGGTCCAATAGGTTGATCTGAGGCTTGGCCACTTCAGATCTAGGAATCCAGGTCAAAATAGGTTTTGTTTCATCATCAGTTTCCATGTTCAAGTCCACCTGTTCTTCTGGTTTACTTAAGAAATGGTCTACAGCAAAAGCTTCTGTGTCTGATTCATTTTGTAAAATATTAGACTTACTAAAGCTAAGATGGTTTGGACACATAGTATGTGTATCACGGATGTGAGATTTAAAATGGTCATAAGGAATGTAATCGTTTGCTTTACAGTAAAGTATGGGTTGGGGCTTTAAAAACTGTCTCCAGTACAAATCTTCTGTCTTTTTAGTATCTGTGATTTTTGGATATGGTTTTATGTTGTAAATGTTCCTTGGATCTGTTGTGTAACAAGGTGTGTATGCACAGGTAGATTGCAAGCTTTGTTCTTTAATCTTCTCTTCCTGGTCTTTATGGGTCACACCGGCTGCTATTTTATTCCTAAGAGCTATCATTTCTGTAGAAGTGGGTCCAAACGTATGAAAATTACACAAAACTCTAGGTGTACAATCTGGACAGCCATAAGGTCTTTCCTGGACAATGGCCTCCAGGGGTCGTCGGTTCTGAATCAGTCGGGCAATCCGTCCTTCTAAAGGTCTGGGGGGTTTTAAGATAGGATGGAATTTTTCTTGCTATAGTTGTGGGATAAAAAGGAGACAAATTAATCAATTAATAAATATGGCATTATTAGAATATTGCTACAAATGGCAAGTCAAAAGTCATATCCATTTCACTGAGTACAGGGGAGAGGAATGTATAAGTGTACATTGGAATGTTCTTTTATTTAATTTAAAGACACTGAAAATTGGTTCCAAACAAACACATTTTTCTCCCTCACTGGTTGTAGCTAATATGGAAAGGGTATTTTTTATTTGGCCATACAGAAACTCTTTGATGTAAGAACTCTTGGCTTTTACACTTTAAAGAGAAAGGAATCACCGGAATAAGACTTCTGCCCAGATGCCATGTGTATAGTTATTTAAATCTCAGCCAAAGCCTTTTTTTATCAGGCCAATGCAAGGGTTCTTAAATGTTGGTTGAGGCAGAGTTCTCTTCAGGGCTGACGGGAAATTCCTAAGCTCTTAACACCTTTCAGGATTGTGTGTCAGAGCATCTGCTATGGGGCTCGGGAATATGCAGTTTTAACAAGCATCTCAGGGAAAGCTGAGGCCTATGATGTGCTGTGCTTTGAGAAACACGGGTCTGCCGTGTCATGTCTGTGCTGCTTTTTGAGATGTATTATAAATGTTATAAAATCATGTCTGATAACTGCGAAAGCAGTGAGTATATTCAAAGTGCTATGTGTGTTGTGGGGGAGAACAAGTTGGTTGGAAAGAGGCATCAGGGACCTTTCTGGGACGATGACAGCATTCACCATCTTGATCAGGGTTGGGGTGACCAAGGTGTATGCATTTGTCAGAACTCAATGGTTTTACACTTTAGATTTGTGCAATTTCATGGAATGTATATTCCACTATAAGAACAGCTGGGGCCAGGGGTGGTGGCTCATGCCTATAATCTTAGCACTTTGGGAGGCTGAGGCAGAAGGATCACTTGTGGCCAGGAGTTCAAGACTAGCATGGACAACATAGGGAGACCTTGTCTCTAGAAAAAAAATTAACAAATCAGTTGGCATGGTGCTGTGCACTCTAGTCCCAGCTACTTAGGAGACTGGGGCAGGAAGATCACGTGAGCCCAGGACTTTAAGGTGGTTGTGAGCTATGAGGATGCCACCGCAGTCTAGCCCTGAGCAAGAGAATGAGTTCTTGTCTCAAAAAAACAAAACAAAACAAAACAAAACAATCCCCCAAACCAAACCAAGTAACAAATATTGAACTCTTTTGATGATACGCATGCTCAGCATTTAGGGGTGATGGACATATACTCTGGGAGGCCAAGGTGGGGGGTTGCTTAAGCTCAGGAGTTTAAGACCAGTGTGAGCAAGAACAAGACCTCGTCTCTACTGAACATAGAAAAACTAGCCGGCCTTGTGGCAGGCACCTGTAGTCCCAGCTACTTGGGAGTCTGAGGCAAGAGTATTGCTCAAACCCAGGAGTTTGAGGTTGTTGTGAGCTGTGACAGCATGGTACAGGGTGAAAGAGTAAGACTCTGTCTAAAAAAAAAAAAAAAAAAAACTGTCTACAATTTAGTGTGAAATCCATATAAAATAATAAAGTGTATTGATAGATGGTTAGAGGGATGAAAAATGGATAGGTTATATAATAAAACACGTATAGTAAAATGCTAATGATAGAATCTAGGTGGTGGGTGTTAACTATAAAATTATTTCAACTTTTCTGTATGTTTGAACATTTTTATAATATGTTGAGGAAAAAACTAAAAAAGGATACATGTATGATGCTGGAATTGTCAGCAGAGATAATAAAAATGAAAATGGTGAGAAAATAAGTGCAGCATGGACTTTAAAACAACGGACTTAGGAACATCCTTCTGGTTATAACCTAATCTGTTCATGGTTGGAGGAATTTCCATACTGAGTTATTAACACATTTGTTATAACTTTTGGTAATTAAATTTGAGTTCGTTATGAAGAAAAGAACAAACTCTAACTCTCTGACATGCTTTGTTAAATTTGTCATAAACAACAAAACGATGGGGCTTATCCTATTATACTTTGATAGTATGGCTTTAGGCAAGAAGCAGTTTTTAGTGGCTTTATTATATACTATTACCATGTAATATTTCCTACGTATTTTATTACCACTAAAAAATGTTTTCCCAGCATCTGCTATTTGCTTTAGAAAGCAAACAGCAAGATTCACTGAAACTTTTAAACTTCCAACTATTTTATGTATATTTTATCTTGTTTTTAATAAATATTTGTTGTGTTGATTTACATGCACAATTAATTTTGCATATAATATACTTGACAAGCATCTTTTGTATTTCTTTGGAAAGGATCCTTGGGAAAGGGTCAACCACTTCCTGAGGAGCCAAACCCTATAGGATCAAATCTGTAGACATCTGGAGTGCTGTTAAAGACACTTTAGAGAATGCTCACTGCAAGTAAAATGTAAGAGCAATTAAAAACCCTTCGGCTCCTAAAGCGGTCTGTGTAGGCTGTAAACCCCTTCTGGTGTAAGGATTGCCTATCACCTTAGGAAATGCTGAAGCAGATGTAAAATGGATGTGTCTAGCTCAGTCTTTAAAAAAAGAGTCCAAATGGACATAATCTTCCAGGTGTTTTGTTTGTGTCTTTCTATACCTTACATCTCTAAAAATATTAATGTTTTTCCTCCATAATTTGGAGTTATAGAGAATAAAATGTAGGTCTCAAATAAAACAACAAATACTTACATATGTAAATATTAGGTCATTTCATTTCATTTACATAATTAAGCCAGCAGATTATACCTTCTTTAATTAAAGTGCTTGATCATTTCTTCCAGGCCATTTCATATAATCAATTAAAAAGTCTCTATTGATACTTGCAGAGATTTATTGGCTTTGGACTGTAATTTAGCCAACTCTCAATTGTTGTGACTATCAGGAGGAAGCTTTGGTCTCTTCAAAAGCAATGGTAATGTGCCAGATACACAAAGATGCAAAGATACACAGAATTTAGTAAGAATCTCATTCAATCACTAGTTAAGCTCTATTCCTTTGTAAGTTATTTTAGCAAGAGTAGCATGGTAAAAAATGTGATAAAGTAAAAAATAAAGAAAAATACTGTGACGAGGAAAAGAATCCTTGCTTGTCATTCCAAATAGTAGATAAGAGTCAAACCAGTTCAAATCATTTCAGAGTTAACTTTTAAGATGGGCTAAATTTTCCTTTTGCTAGCTTAGTTGCCAATATCCATGACACAAAAAGTGGCCAAAGGAAGAAGGAGCTGAACCCCTGGATACTGTCCCCCTAAGTAACTGAGAGTTGACTGTAATTACTTACAGGCTCTGGGTCAAATCCTATCTGTCCAGTTAACTCTGCTACCTCCTTTTCATGGAAATCATCCAGTTCTAGGGGGTTCATGGGCCCCAGACCTTAATGGAAACATGGTCTTATTATTTTGTTATAGTAAATGAAGAGCGGCCCTTAAAGTTACCACTATGGGAAAGCTTACCCATTCCTTCTGTAATATAATTAGAACCAATAAAATGGAAACCAACCCTACCTCCCAACTACCCACGAAGAGAAACCTACCACCCACCTTAATTCCTATTAGTACTTAGATTGAGAAACAGGGAAAAATAGCAGAAGATGAAAGCTTGTAACAGGATTTGTTGAATATTGCAATTTTGCTCTAATTTTTACTTGTATTAAAATAATTTCGTACCTGTAAAATCACGAGTGTATGAAGTGAGCCAGTGGGACCTCTCAAGATTTCTTTGTATGTTGGCTTCTTTTGCTGAGTTAATAGGGTCCCATGAATTTAAAGAAGTGTTAGGAGCGAAGGTTTTAGGAGGTTTCGGGTAGAATATTGGCTTATTTTTCTCAACACATTTAGGAAACTAGAATATGAACATAAAGATTATTGCTATTAATGTCATCTAGTAGAATAAGGGCTGATTCACTATCTCTGCAGGAAAGGGGCAAAGGAAATTCGAGGCTAAAGTCAGATACTGTTTTTTCTTCAATAATTACTTATATTCTATAACCATATTTAGGGTTAAACACAATGTTTTGTCAAAGAAATGGGAGGGTCTTTTCTTTTTTTTTTTTTTGAGACAGAGCCTCAAGCTGTCCCCCTGGGTAGAGTGCCGTGGCATCACAGCTCACAGCAACCTCCAACTCCTGGGCTCAAGCGAGTCTCTTGCCTCCGCCTCCCAAGTAGCTGGGACCACAGGTGCCCGCCACAACGCCCGGCTATTTTTTGGTTGCAGCCATCATTGTTGTTTGGCGGGTCCGGGCTGGGGATTCGAACCCGCCACCTTAGGTGTATGTGGCTGGCGCCTTAGCCGGTTGAGCTATAGGCGCCGAGCCGGGAGGGTCTTTTCTAAAAGTCTTTTGCCTTAGCAGGGGCTCTGATATGAAGGGTGTCCATACAGTTGGTGTGCAATTTACTATGTTACACTATTTTAAATTGCACACGAACTTTATGTACACCCTGTATATACCCTGGGTGCTCTACCTCCAGTGAAATTTTATTAGAAATACGAAGGGGTCTGAAGTACTCTTTTGGCAAAGGTTAGTCAAAACTGTGTGCCTCCTACTTTCCCTTCCATGCTCGAAATCAAATCATCAGATGTCTTTTATGAATTTCTGATGAAGTTTAAGTCCCTGAAATTAAAATGAAATTTTTATTTTTCAGACATAACTATGGAGTTTGATTTTGTATTTTCAAAAGAGGTATGCTTGTAAACATGGTGAATGAGTGAGTCTCACTGCGGTCTTCTCGGTTACTTAGCAACTCACCTTTTCTCATTCTTTCTCTCAGACTTAAATATTTACTGAGCACCTAAACATGTATGCTAGTAGCAAGAAACAAGAATGGATTGGAACAAATCTTGCCATCTGGGAGCATATTGGCTATTAGGGGGATAAGGCCTGAACACAAATAACTATAAGAGGAAAAGTAACCCTTTGTTATAAGAGAGATTAAGGTTAAATTATTTTGAAGTTCAGAGGAAGGGGAGATTTATTCCATCTGAATGGGGATGTGGGGCTGGGAGTGGAAGATGAGGGGACATGTTAGGCCACACCAAAGAGACTGGGCCTTGAATGACATGCAGAGATGTGGAGACCAAAGTAACAGCAGGAGCAGAGGTGCGGATGGTGGTGGCAAGTAGGGGACTAATATTTATTGAGCATTATGCTGCTTGCTGTCCTCACAGCAGGTCCATCCTTAACATTTGCAGGGCCTGGGGCTAAAGTACAAATGAAAGTCCATAGTCCATTTGTCTAAGTAGTTTAATTTGTAAATCAAGCAAATAAACTATTACATATAATAGTATAATCTGTCCCATTTTCCTACTTGTTCAAGAATAAAAAAGACAAAATACCTTTGTAATAACCTGGAAGATCAGGTTCAAGTTGAGATTTGTTGGATTCCTAAGCCCGTCATTGGCCCCTGGCCCAGCATTCCCCTGCTTTCTTCCTTACTTGCTCTGTCTACCCATCATCCCTACTTCCAGCAAATAGCCTGGTCCTTCCCAGTCCTTTGTCCTAGATATATATATTGGCTGGCAGTACTGTCAACCATTGGCAAGAAGGGCCTGAAGAAGATTCCCCAAGAAGGTCCTGGGACTGGGTTCAAAGCTATTTGGTCAGAGAATTCTGTGGTTCAAGATGATGGTTTGGAGAGGGAGGTGGGAGCCTGGGCTCCAAATGGACATATCCTCTTGCTCATAAACTCCCTGCTCCACAGTGGGAGGTACAGTCAGAGGAAGGCCACAACTGCCTCTGAGGATGGGGCCCTCTACAGTTTCTGGGCCTAAAGGTGATGTGGCTCAGAGTAACCCTGCGAGGTGGCAGTGATCCCTATTTTACACAGATAGAGGATTCATAGTGGAAGGCACTTGGAATCTGTCTCAAGAAGTATTAAATGACCACCTCTATAAACCAGTAGCAAATATGTGGCTTACTCATTCAGGGATAAAGAAAGCTCCCTTTGTTCTCCTTATCACTAATCATTATTTGCAGACCCAGCTTACTTGGAAATAAGGACTTTTTTCAAATATTGTTCTAAGGCGCTAGAGTAATCTTGTGTTTTAACCTGGCTGAACTAACAGCAGTGACCTACTGAAGTGCAACCAAGGCATAAGAAAGAAAATAGGAAGCTGAAATTTTACTGTAGCCTATGATGTCTTAGAAAGTGGTTAAAGCTCCAGAAAACACTGGAGGTGGGGAGCTGGTCAGTTTTCAGTAGGTGAAAGTGGTGTTACTCTGAGAGGATGATTAGAGGGGCTGGTGCAATCCTTCACTCAATAGTTGTTCATTGGTTCAGTATCCTCAGCACAAGATAGTTTGTATCTGATAAGAAAGATGAATCAAGGCAGGAAGGAATTCCAGTTTCTAAGATGTTTCTAGGCAGACAATCCAGTCCACGAAGGGGTGGTGTTAATTGCTTTGAATTTGGAATGCAATCTTAGAGGAATAGCACTGTATAAATTCTGGATATGTTCCCAGCATAGTTTGTTCATAAAGTATATGTAACTCATAACATACTTAGTAAACATTTACTGAATGCCAATTAAATGCAAAACTATGTGCAAGGTTTTCAGGGCTTTGTGCTGGCACCAAACCCCCATAAATTGCAATTAAAATAAGATAATATGGTTGTAATAAACGAAACAAACAAAAAAACAAATACAGTTTTTTGTTTTGTCTTAGTCTTGAATGATGGGTGTAACCAGGTTTAATAGGGGAGCAAGAAAAAGGTTATTGTGAAGAACACATTGCCTTTTGGGAAGACTTTAGTACCTGGGGACATTGGTTCTTCACTGAATCACAGTTCACTTAATTCTATTGTATTAGCATCATTTCTAAACTCAGAAGTTACGATTAGGCACTTTGTTCATCTACACATGGACAAAGAAAGGGAGCAAATAAGAGACAGGCAGAGAAATTTTTTTGGCATCTAGTCAGGACTTGAAGGTTAAAGAGAAAAGGATGCACAGTTAGGGAAGGTGCTGCCCAGGACAGGACAAGGGGAAATGAGGAGGGGGTGAGGTGGGAGATGGGAAGAGGGAGTATGCCCATTTGCAGGTAGAGGTGGGGTGCAGGGTGGCAGTGCCGATGGAGAAGTGCACTGTGGGCATCCAATTGTATCTCAACCTTCCTAATGCGCGAGCCTTTAATACAGTTCCTGTGGGTGGCGACCCACAGGTTCAGAACTGCTGAATTATATGGTAAGATGGTACTTTTCTAAAGAAGATGCCTGTGTGCTCAACAAATTCCTTTGGCCATTTGAGGATGGGCATGGATTGTGGGAGCTATTGTGGAGAGACAGAACTGTCTTAAGACTAAGGAATGTATCTTTAGGAGAGGGGTAGGCATTTTAGATTGGAAAGATGGCAGATGGCTCAAGAAGGAAAACAGTTTTCCCTTGTAAGGGTGATACAAGTGAACTTCTTTTCAATGGGAATCCAAAGGTCTATACAAATACTTAAGTTTATGGAAAACTGTGTTGTAATGAATACTGTCTTAGTAAGGAGGCTCAATTAAGTTTTGAAAATGGTTTTGTTAAAACATTACAAATAGTCCAGGGTTAGGGAAGTTTATGGCACTTGACCAATGTCATCATGTCATATCTTACTCAAAAGATGATTACCAGGAAGACTTTACCCTAAAGATTATTTTCAGATTACAACAGCTAAGACCAGGTGCTTGAATTCTTGAGAAACAGAAAGGACAAAAGTCTTTAGCCACTTAAGCAAGTAATGACAAAAACAGAACAGAAGAATAAAATTTAAAACCTATTATTGTTTGCCAGTTGTAAAAGGAAAATGAACGTTGATTGGCTTGGAAATGGCTGATCCTGGTCTGTGAGAAGAGACTCAGAGAGAAAAGAGTAGGTAGGAGAGGCCCTGACTAGAGCGACTAGTGCACTGATCAGTAATGACTCTGGTGGGGAAAAGAGTGACAGTTCAAAGAAACAAAAAGATCGGGTGGCTCTGGGGTCTGGGTGGGAAAGAGGTACCTGATCTAAGACACAGGCTTCATATACATGTAAAGTCAAAGATGAGGCCCAAATGATATTTTATAAGACTCTGTTAAAATTAAACCCTAGCCTTTAATTTTTAAAAGATTCAACCCTCTTATTTGGAATATTCTCCTTTCTTAGGTTACCCATTTCTTAATGTTGCTAGATCCACAAAGCATTATAACCATTGGAATAATAGTACTGCCAGCAACTAACATGTATTATGGGCTTATCATATACTAACATGGTGCAAGGTGCTTATCTATGCATTTCATTATCAAGACAACACTGCCAGGTAGATTTTATTATTATTACTGTCTTACCTAGGAGGAAACAGGTGCTGAAGGGTTAGGTTTATTACCCAGGGCCTGGAGCTGACAAGTTTTAGACCCAGGAGCTAAGCCACTTTGAAATTCACATAGTTTACCAATGTTATGCATATCTTTTTATTGGCTCCAATGGAAAATACTAAAATATGAGTCCTAGAGTTTCTTCCTTGTAGCTAGGTCGCATATTTTTGAAATTGCTTATCAGGTTTTTGGTGTCCCTCCTCCGCTCCTGGCACAGGGTAGAGTAGGAAAAGGGAGAACACTATTAGACCATAAATAGAAGTTACAAGTCTTTAAAAACAGGGCATTCTTGTTATGAGTCCCACCAATTCAGTGGATATGGGATGTACCAAAGGTTGAGGTCTCACTGCTCTAGCAATAGGAAATATTATTTTAAAAATCCCCCTTTAATAAAAAGGGAATATTGCAGATAAAGGTGAAGACTCTGACTCCCTCTCCCAATTAAGTGGTGAAAGGAAAAACAGGACAAGTACAGGGTATTATCCTAAAGGTTAAAAAAAATGAGTGATGAGGTATTCCCATCAGGCTCAGTATCAATTTTATTTTTGTTTCTTTGTCCAGGGAAGCACAAAACTTGATTAGGGTTAGGGATGACTCTGAAGAATATCTGAAAGGTTGAAAATGAAGATCAGTTAGATTAAGAAAGTGGGATTAATCATTAGAGAGTAAAAGAATCATCAAATCAGTCAAAAATATTTATGTACAAAGCACTGTGGTAGATATAAACATAAAACTGTTTCTTTTCAAAGAACCTGTCATTTAGTTGATGGGATTGTGAAAAGGTATTGGTTAGTATGTGTAATAGAAGTCAGAAGAAGAAATCACTTCTAGCAGAATGATAATAATACCTTATAAATTACAGTGTTTTCTAGTTTTCAGATCTTTCATATGATCCTCATATCCTGTAAAATTTGTAGGACATCTTTTACTAAAATTATACAGATCAATTTTATTAATTAAATCACAGAGAAGGGAAACAATCAATAGCACTTAGAGAGCACATGGCAATAGAAGGCTAACTACAACATAGGTCTCCTAACTTGGTTCTTTACTACACAGCACCAATAAGGACGGCTGAGCTGAGCCTTGAAGAAAGAGTAAGTGTTAGGCAGAGAGGCCCTGAGAGGAGGCCAGTATAGGAAGGGAAATAATGTGAACCTGTTCAGGGACCAGGAGGTGGAACTAGGCTGCTGCAGGGGAGAAAGTGAGGCCTGAAGGGTCTTCATACTTCAGTTAAAGCACTGGGACATACACACAGGCAGGGGGAGCTGTTCATGATAGCTGCAAAGGGGCGTGACATTACGAAAGCAGGATTTTGAGGAGTAAAAAGAAAGTCAACTACAGATTTGGAGTCTTTGGCTATAAGAACATGTAATACAGGATGTAGGCTGCCATTCTACGAGTCATGTGGGAAAGGCCATGGCCTTAGCCACATGCTGCTCAGCATTCCTATGGTGGTGGAGGGGGTTGTAATGTTCAGCAAAATAGACAGGAAACTGGTTTGGGAACATTTGGGTAGAAATCATCAGCTTAGCAGAGACAGGAAATCAGTGGAGTTAGAAGGCAGTTAAAAAATTGAAAAATCACCCTCTAGCCAAGACAATCTAGCCTGAAGGCTGTAACTGGAATCTGTCCTCTCTTATCCTTCAAGGCAACTTTTTTTGTTACCTATTTAGTTCTGCCCTTGAGAACTGTTCTATAATTTAGTGCCTTATTGTCATTCACCCGGATGATCTTTTTCATAATCAAAAGATTACCCATGTGATTGACTCATGAGATTATACAGATGCCCTATAAAATCCTAATAAAAACCTCCTGAGATTTCAGTTTGAGGTGACACCTACCTGCCTCACTATAGGCTGATATGGTATTTGTCTAAGGTGACCAGATTTCCCACTTTTGGCGGGACAGTTCTGATTTTTAATAATTTGTCCTGTGTCCTGCAGCATTTTAAAAAAAGTCCCACATTCTATGAAAATTTTTGTTGCTCCATATAGACCACATTTTTAATTAAGAACCCTCCCCCCGAACAGAACCACACCCATCAATAGTGTCACGCTTTACCAATGTTAAAATCTGGTCACCTCATGTTTGTTTCTCCAGGCCTCCCAGATTATTTCACTGAAATTTCTGCATGTAAATTTCTTTTTTTTTTTTTTTTTTTTTTTTGAGACGGAGCCTCAAGCTATCCCCCTGGGTAGAGTGCCATGGCATCACGCTCACAGCAACCTCCAACTCCTGGGCTCAAGCGAGTCTCCTGCCTCAGCCTCCCAAGTAGCTGGGACCACAGGCACCCGCCACAACGCCTGGCCATTTTTTGGTTGCAGCCATCATTGTTGTTTGGCGGGCCCGGGCTGGGGATTCGAACCCGCCACCTTGGGTGTACGTGGCTGGCGCCTTAGCCGCTTGAGCCACAGGCGCTGAGCCTGCATGTAAATTTCTTATGTCATTCCTCTCTCTTCTCTGGACCTGTAGTGGTCCATAAAGCCCCCACTTGGGGAGTTCTCAATCCACCATTGTGCTGCTCCATTGTGCGGCCATCTTGTTTGTACCATAACAAGATAGTTCCAGAAAAATGTCTCATATTTCTGCTTGCTTACATAGATTTTGCTTAAAAGAATAAAAAAGATTCAGCAAGGCAGATGATTCTTTTAGGATTCTTCTTGATGTTTAACTTTAAAAAATAAACAGGAAATAGCTTACTTTATAGATGACTGTGTGACATTGCAGTGACCACATGCTGGCCTGCTATAATGGGTTTCCAGGTAAAATTAAAATGTTTTCAACCGTCCATAAGTAGTTCTTGGCTATCTCATAGGCAGTGCTTCTCATAAACTGACAGTCAATAAATCTTAGCTACTATCATTTTCCAATGTCTAGATATTTTCCTTTATGATTTAAAAATTTCTCTGTTTATCCTTGTGGAATTATGGTATAGAGGTTAAACGCAAAGAATAGAATCTCACAAACCTGAGCTCTCTGATCATGACATAGTCACAAACCAAGTCTCACTTTCCTTGTCTATAAAATAGGAATGACGACACTAACTGTATGAGATTATAAGGGTTAAATGACATATCTAAAGGGGTTAGTTGCAAGGGTCCTCAAACTTTTTAAACAGGGGGCCAGTTCACTGTCCTTCAGACCACTGGAGGGCTGGACTGTGGGCCCCAGGATGAGTTGGCTGCTAAGCAGGACAGGCAACAGAGGTAAAAACACCTGGAAGGCTGGATGAATGTCCTAGGTAGGCTGCATGTGGCCCGCAGGCCACAGTTTGAGAATGCCTGGGTTAGTGTATAGCATTTACTTAATAAATGATGCCTATTGTTTTATGTTTATTTTATTTTGGACTTGACACAAATGTATTAATAGTGGCTGAAATAATGATAGCTTGTAAATCTTTCTGAAAACCTCTTGTTCACTCTGTGCATATTTGGAGTTACTTGATAGATTGTGAATCATAAGAATAGGAAGAACACATTCCATGGTGGAGTGTGTGAAACACAGTCCATCCCCAGCATCCTTCTGGCAAAAACTTTTTTTTTTTTTTTTTTGGTAACTGTGGAAATGTTCCATAACTGCCAAAAGTTCATGAAATTACCTAAGAAAACTGAATTGAAAATGTGAATCATGGTCAAAATCTTGCATTTTTCATTCATCCAGAAAGTAAAAGTAATACTTTTTTTATTTTTATAAACTTACTGAACAATAATACTTTTTACACATTTTAAAAGATACTTACATCATAATATACACCCTGACCTGGCCAAGTCAATGCTTTCTTCTTTGAATCTGTGGGAATATCAATCAGTTCGTATCTGTAAGGATGACCTGAAAATTCCAGGAAAAGCACTGTTATCCTGACTAAATAAGCACAGTCTTTTATCTAATCAAATTAATAGGTACAATAAATAGAAATGAAATAATATAGAAGAGGGGTGAATGTTGTATCTTTTAGCCATATAGTTAATAGCTTATGAGATAATAGCCTGCTCTTGAATTCTTTGCCTTTTTTTTTTTTGTTGTTGAGACAGAGTCTCACTTTGTTGCCCTGGGTAGAGTGCCATGGCACCATCCTAGCTCACAGCAACTTCAAACTTTTGGCTCAAGTGATCTTCCTGCCTCAGCCTCCTGAGTAGCTGGGTCTGTAAGGGCCACCACACTCAGCTAAATTTTCCATTTTTAGTGGAAACATTGTCTCCCTCTTGCTCAGTCTGGTCTTGAACTCCTGATCTAAAGCAATCCTCCCACCTTGGCTAGGACACTCTTGAATTTTTGAGCTCTCACATTAGTAGTGTGTGGTGACAAAGTGAGAAGAAATCTCTAGCCCTAGTGCTCCCAGGGACGCCTTTCCTGTTAATGACAGAGATCTTTATAATAACTCTTCCCAGATCTTCTTTCTGTTCCTTGGAGGCTCAACAAATACATTTGTATACTATTTTGACTTTTCTCTGCCTAAATATAAAGAGTTTTCCAAAACTGAGTTACTACTTGCTTACCCAAAAGGTACTGAATGAGAACATTTTAAAGATAACAGCTTCTTAGATTTTGGTTCGTAACATGATAAGCTTTATAACACAGCATGACTTTGTTCCTGTAAGTTTCTTTTTTTTTGAGACAGAGCCTCAAGCTGTTGCTCTGGGTAGAGTGCCATGGCATTATAGCTCACAGCAACATCCAACTCCTGGGCTCAAACAAGTCTCCTGCCTCAGCCTCCCAAATAGCTGGGACCACAGGCACCCACCACAATGCCTGGCTATTTTTTTGGTTGCAGCCATCATTGTTTGGCGGGACCGGGCTGGATTTGAACCTGCCACCTTAGGTGTATGTGGCTGGCGCCTTAGCCACTTGAGCCACAGGCACCGAGCCTGTTCCTGTAAGTTTTAAGTTAAAGAATATTCTGAACACCCATTCTCACATGTAATAAGAACAAAGGCTGGTATTTATTGAACACTTCTATGTGCCAGTCACTAGGCTGTTTTTATATCATCACATGCATTTTTCATAACATCACTATAAGAAAGGTACTGTTTTTTCTACTTTGATGAGTAAGGGAACACAACTGGTAGGTAGAATTCAAACTCAGGCAATCTGGTTCTAGCACTTGCACTCTTAACCTACATGCTTCTTATTTCTACTAAAGAAGGGTTAAACTAAGTGGAAGAGTAGAAACCTAATGCAGTACCAGTTCCTAGAAAGATCTTTTTATAAGGGTTAGCAGGATATAGTTCTTTTTGAAATCTCAGAGTGAGGTAGATGCTTGGAAGAGCAGGAAATTAAGAAGGCTATTTGCTTCTTCAGTCCCTTATCTACACTGTACTGAAAAGTGTTTTTATAAATTCAACACATATTTTTGTGATTTCTTGCAAACTATATGCACGTCATATAAAAATCCTCATTGAGGTCATAAAAATTTCAATTGTTTAAGGTTTAGTATCCTCCTACCAAGAAATTAGGGTCCTACTATGTCTCCAAGGCTGGAGTGCAGTGGCACAATCATAGCTTCCTGTAGCCTTGAACTTTTGGACTCACAAGCACTTGCCACCACACTCAGCCTGGGTATCATATCTTTTTTTTTTTTTTTGAGACAGAGTCTCATTATGTTGTCCTTAGTAGAGTGCCATGGTGTCATAGCTCATAGCAACTTCAAACTCTTGGGCTCAGGTGATCCTCTTGCTTCAGTTTTTCATTTTTAGTGAAGACAAGATCTCACTCTTATTCAGGCTGGTCTCAAACTCATAAGTTCAAGCAATCCACCCACCTTGGCCTCTCACCAGAGTACTAGGATTACAGGTGTGAGCCACCGTGCCTGGCCAGGTATCATATCTTACATTCTTTTGCACAGTACCCCCTCTCCCTACTCCTCCAATATATTATTATGGTACAAAATACTAAATAGTCTCTATACTTGATACATCTCTGGCTACTTTTTATCCATGCTGCCTGGTCTGAGAGGCAATGGAAAATTTCAACATGGTGGACACATACCCATTATGTCAGCAAGGTGATAAAAATAATAACTGCTGGCTCGATGCCTGTGGCTCAAGCGGCTAAGGCGCCAACCACATACACCTGAGCTGGTGGGTTTGAATCCAGCTCGGGCCTGCCAAACAACAATGACGGCTGCAACCAAAAAATAGCCCGGCATTGTGACGGGTGCCTGTAATCCCAGCTACTTGGGAGGCAGAAGCAGGAGACTTGCTTGAGCCCAGGAGTTGGAGGTTGCTGTGAGCTGTAATGCCACAGCACTCTACCCAGGGTGACAGCTTGAGGTTCTGTCTCAAAAAAAATAATAATAATAATAACTGCTAACATTTATTTCTGTTATTTATGGAGGCACTAATATGTGTATTTCCATTTTATGGACTGGAAAGTAGAGGCGGAGAAATTCAGAAGTTTCCCATGGTCCACAGTGAGTATGTGGAAGATTGAGAATTCTAGCCATGCAGTCTGACTCCAGAACCACGCTCTCTTTTTTTTTTT